AACTCATAATATTTTCTTTGCATATAACTTTTCCATCTGATTTTTCCTGAAAATAACTCCCCTTTAGAGATTTGTGTGTGTGTGTGTTTAAAATTGTGGTAAAATATACATAATAGAAAATTTACCATTTTAGCCATTTTTCAGTGTACAGTCCAGCGTCATTATTCACACTGTTGTGCATCCTTCACCGCCATCCACCTCCAGAACTTTTCATCTTACACAGCTGGAACTCTGTCCCCACTAAACACAAATTTCCCATCCCCCTCCTCCCAGCTCCTGGCAACCACCATTCTCCTTCCTGTCTCTATGAATCTGACTACTCTAGGTGCCTTATAGAAGTGGAATCATACAGTATTTGTCCTTTTTTGTCTGGCTTATTTTACTTAGCATAATGTCTTTTGGGCTCATTCGTGGTGTAGCACAGGACAGAACTTCCTGAAAGTCTGAATACTGTTCCATTGTATGGATAGAGCACATTGTGTGTATCCATTTATCTGCTGATGGACATTTGGGTCGTTTCCACCTGTTGGCTATTGTGAATAATGCTGCTACACACGTGTATTTTCAATTACACGAGAAGTTGGAAATGCGCTTTCATGGCCATAGTGCTGGGCACTGAGTCGCGCGCCAGCCCTGAGACAGGTTCGTGCTGTTGGAGACGTGATTGAAGTGGTGATCTTGATCACCTGCCGGACGCCCACTTCCCCATATTCACATGCAGCCAGAGGACAATTATGTCAATAAGTGCTGCCTGGCCTACTAGTAGGATTGTTTAAAGTTTTTCAAAAACACATTCTTGGATGCTATTGGGCAGTGGGTCATGATTTCTTGTCATTTCTTATGATATTTTCTTGTGACGCATGGTTTTCTCTTATCCTGGGAAGCCATGCATGATTCCTCTGGCTTTAGGGTAGAAGCTCTGTGCCAGGAGCACAGCTATCTGGGGCAGTGGAAACCAGTTAGGAGACTTCTCTGGTCCCAGAGGTGTGCTTGTTTGGCCCCCGGGGTTTCTGATTCCACAGGAGTCAGAGTGTGCGACATCTCTTCATACAGAGCCCATAGGATGCGTATGTTCCCTTTACTGAGCATATGTCAGTCACTCTTTACATGAGTGGCCCACATAATTCTGGCCTGTTCACCCAGTGTCCTGCCTGGTGTCTGGGGCATCTGGCCCCGTCCTAGCCACTGCTGGTCAGTGTCTCTTGTTGCCTTCATTGTGCAGCTAAGACAGCAGCTGATCAGAAACCCAAATTCTGAAGAAAGTCTTCCCTTCCATTAAAGGATGTTCAGTGATAAGCTCTACATTAGGGAGGAATTGGAAATTAACTTTATTCTACATAAAAAACAAAGCAGAAGGCTAGAATGAACTTGGAGTTGAAGTCAATCAATGTCTTTAATTAGCATGTGTATTTGTACATACGCTCCAGTGTGTATGTCTCTAAGAAAGAGAGAGACCAACCCTAAACCATGGCAGACCGGTGCTGTGTTGGGGCATGTGGTCCTGTGGACAGAGAGCTGCCTGGGCTATATGGCCACTAACCACGATCTGTGCTGGGTGACTGTTTGGCATCCAGAGCAAGACAGCAGTCTGCCTTGCACACTCGAGTGCGTGCCTGCAGCGAAACCCTCGGCAGTCGCTGAGCCAGTAGCTGCTGGGCCGTGTTGGGAGCTCACATGCACTGCAGGCTCCATGGGGGATGGGGGGTGCTGGGTCATCTCCACCATCAAAAGGACAAAATGCAAAGTACAAATAAAAAGTGTAACGGGCTTGATTCCTATTGAACTGACTTTCCCACCACACCTGAGTGGTTTTGTGGGGCTGTAGTGACGTGTTTACTGCACTTCACAGACCACCTGGCAGGGGTCAACCTGGCAGTGGCAGCAGCGTTTACCAAAAAGTGGGCGGGATGTTTGTGTTGAGAGCACAGCCTCTGAGAGTCGACCGGCTGGCTCTTTTGCTTTGTTTTTCTCTAAAAATTGATCCCATTTTTTTTCATTTATATTAATATTTATAGTTCTTACAAGGAATAAATATCTTTGACTATATGTACATTTTCCCCTTGTTTTCCTGCTTGAAGGGACCACTTCAGAATGCAAGGTAATTGACGTTTCTAGAAAATGTTACTAGTGTTTTCATCTATAACTCACTAGTGTTTTTCTGTTAAGGTCTTTATATACACTTTTATTTTGTCTGTCTGTCTTCTGGTATAAACAACAATAAATGCATGCTAGTTTCATAGTAGCCTGTGATACATTAAAGCTTACTGAGTTTCTGAAGTGTGTGGCTTTGATATAGTCTTATAGGGTGCCCATGCAGTGTATTTATATTTCTGATTAAGACTGCAGATTAGGTTGGTTTCTGCCTGACATTATTTTTTTAGAGAAATAGAACACTTTCCTTTCCATAATGGTACATTAAGACATACCTAAGTACAAAGTGAAAAAACAATATTCAATTCTTAGAATGTTCCTTCGTTGGTGATTTATAAGAACACAGAATAAGTTGGGAGTAGGGAAGGGGATTGTCTTAGTTTGTTTGGGCTGCTGTAATAAAATACCTTGCACGGGATAATTTATAAACAAAAGAAATTTAGCATGCACCATTCTGGCAGCTAGGAAGTCCAGGATCAAGGAGCAAGCAGATTCCGTGTCTGGTTAGGTTCTGTTCCTCATAGGCGGCACCTTCCATGTGTCCTCACAGGGAAAGAGAGCTCTTTGGGCCCTCTTTTATAAGGGCACTAATCCTGTTCATGAAGGGGGAGCCCTCATGACCTAATCACCTCCCTGGGGTCCACTCCTAATACCGTCACCATGGGGGTGGGGTTTCAACATATGGATTTGGGGGGACACAAACATTCAGACCAGAACAAGGATAAATTGGTTGAGTACCACAAGATCTCTCTTTATGTTTTTAAAAATCCATTAATTAGACAAATTTTAACTTAACTTCAAGTTGAGTCTTTAGGAGAGAAATATAAGAATATGCAGCAAAATGCTATTTTCACTCATTGTCCGTCCGCCTGTCTCTCTCTTTGCCCCTCTCTGGCCTTGTCTAGGGATTACCTCAGATAAAGCAGGCTTCACCTGACTCAGGACCAGCCTGTCTGGAGACTCTTACCCAGTGTCCCCTGATCAAAACAGCATGTGCATCAATGCATCCAGGTTCCATTGTGAAAAGCGTTGCCCCCAGACTTCCATTTCTTGTGCCTCTGTGGCTTCTCCTGGTTGAAGTTTTCATTTAGGTTGACACAGCCCTAAGATGGGGCAGGATGGGTGGGGGGAGGCAGAAGGCTTCAAAACCCAGCAGTAGCATTACATTGTCTACCCATTGCTGCTTTTCTGTGACTCCGTTGACACTCAGAACATACTTTGTTGAATCCGTGAAGGAACGGAGACCAGAGAGAAATGGCCCCAACAAGACAACCTTGTGTAAGGAAGAATGCTCCCCTGCTTAGTCACCCCTAGGTCACCTAGCCCAGCTGTCCATAACAGCCCCCAGAGGGCTCTCCAACTTGTAATGTAGGGAGGTGACAAAAGTGTCATTTGAGATGGACAAAACCCAGCCCTTAGAAGAAGAGCACTGTGTATTTTACCTTGTCATTCAATGATGAATGATGGTCTGGACAGTTCTGGGTGCAGCGAGGGAAGTCCTGCCCTCCGTCCGTCTCCAGCAGCTCACCACCAGGGAAGGCCCAGAGCCCAATACCTTTCTGCTTTGATCTGGATCCTTCTTCCTCTGGTTCTACCAATTTCTTGGCTATGCCTTACAGTCAGCTCCAGATGGCCATTCTCAGGCTCTGACCCCACCTTAGTCTCATGGTGTCTTAAACTCCTTAGAGCAGGATGAAAACTTCTTAATTAAGGCTTACCTGAAAAAAATACAGACATCGTTACCCACTTGCCCTGGCTGCCTTTAACCCTCTCTCTAGCCATTTTATGCCCACTATGGCATGAGGCTCCAATTGCTCAGTTGGGTCTTCGTAGTTTTTTAATTGGTTGTTACTGTTCAGACTGAAATGTATCACCAGATTTCAGTAATGTAGTGCTCAGTGCTTCTTAAACAGCATTAACTTACATGACTTAGGTCTGTGTGTTCTTGATTAATAAGACCAATGCAATTACAAGTAAAAAAATTACAAGTTGTTCTTAATGACATTTTTGACAATTTAATGACAATGACATTTTGTTTTTAAACTGCCCAGCATGTTTTGAAGATGAGTGCATTTGTGTGTGAACTTTTCCCAGCCCTCCCCCTGTGGTGTTATTTAATGAATGTCATTGTTTCTAGGGAAAAGTTTTCATTTACCGAGGGAAGGAGTATGAACGTCGAGAAGATTTTGAAGCTCGGCTATTAACTCAGTTTCCAAATGCCGAGAAAATGAAAACAACATCCCCGCCAGGCGACGATATTAAAAACTCTCCTGGCCAATGTATCCTTTAAAACAACCATCCCGACTATCAGACGGTCACGACGCCATTCATTCAGATGGTTGGGTGCACTTGGGGGGCTTCTCGGATGGTCGATGTCCACACTGCCTAATGGATCCTTAACCCACTTCGTTGCAGATATCCAGTGCTTCACAGTAAAGCCCAAACTTGATTTGCCTCCTAAATTTCACAGGCCAGTGTCAGAGCAGATTGTAAGGTAATGGTCCCATTTTTCTTACCCAACATGAGAATGGTAAAAAGCTGTATACAGATCTCTTGCTGATAATTCCACCTTTTAGAGGATGGATCTTAGTCTTTGATTAGCTTTCCAGATGCCCTTTCTATCCTCTTGCAAGATCAAGGGAAGCTAATTATTGTCAGCATCCAAAAAAGTGAAGGAAGAACTTAATCCATGTTCCAGGAGGATGCATAGGCTATTCCCAAGGTCGAGAGTCAACAAAATCTCAGGCAGGAGGACGAGGCAGCACTCTGGCCTCCTTATAGACCCACCGTGTGGGGTAGAAATCCCAGTTGAGCTTTTTAGTGGTACACAAGCCCAGCCCCACACCCAGCAAATCCGAGTCCGTACATCTGGGTGTTGCCTCAGTGTCTGCGTTTTATAAAGGCGGGAAAAAGGATTTGGACATTTGCTCTTGCTGATGCACATGAGAAGAACCCTTCACCCCACAGCACAGCAATTATATAATATGGGATTATGAAGTGATGTTTAAACCTCATGAGTCACCTGTCCGAATCTGAGTGAGATTTCATGCCTTTCAGTTGAAACTGCACCTGACTTTGCAGTGGTGTAGGAACATCTGCTTTTGCAGACGTTTCTTTGATGTTAAGAATTTTCTTTTCTGTTTGATCCATGTTCTATTCTATTTGATCCATAATGAAAAATTAACCTCTTTGATGGCCTAATATTTCTCAGGATCCGCTTATTTTGTATCCTGATGTTGGGTGTTTTCTTTAACCTGTCATCATTTCTTTCACCTTTCATCAGCAAAAATGGGAAATAAACTAGGACTCTTTATTTACAAGTGATTGCTTTCACAAGCATACGTTTTTAAGGCTTGCAACATTTTTTCTCAGAGACAGGCATCCAGCAAGGGGAACTGTAGAGTATGCTCTGGTAGTTTCCTTTGATGTGGGCGTCTGCCTACATTTCAGTGTCGGGGGAGAAGTATCTCCCTGCACCTGCCCGAGCTACATGCACGAGACCCACCCCTGACCCAGGGAGGAAGGCAGCTGCTTACGTCCATGTCTGCCCTTCTTTGGGTGGTTGCAAAATCTGCATTTTATAGACCAGAACCTAAAGTGTTTAAAACCATTTAAAAAGTAATAACCACATAAAGTGAATACAAAACCTTTTAACCCTCTCCTTTGCATCACCTTTTTTCTGTTTTTGCCCATTTCACTCTTACTCAGCGTCTCTTCTCCCTTGAGGGCTGGCAGGGATGGGGAGGAGGCCAAAACTCAAGTTAATTTTTCCACCTGTCAACATTTCCCTTCCAAGGCTGGCTGGGAGAGGAAGCCAAGGCTATCACTTCAGGCCAAGGTTGGGGATATAGTGACATATTCGGAGGCCAGACCCTATGTCTAAAAGCAAATCAGATGTTTTCTGGGTTAAATGTCTAATGATCTGTCTGTCTCTGTGCAGTTTTTACAGGGTGAACGAGGTCCAGCGATTTGAATATTCTCGGCCAATCCGGAAGGGAGAGAAAAACCCAGACAATGAATTTGCGGTAAAAACAACAACAGCAGCAAAATACCAACACCACCAAAACAAAAAGCAAACAAACAAAAACACCTCATTCCACCCCCTACAAAACTGCCTGTTGGGAAGTGTGGTCTGAAAGTCTACCCCCAAGACAGTGTTACTGTCCTTGTACATTATGTGCAGAAATCCCGATCTGGTACCTCCTCCAAACTAGTAGAACTACTGACATTTCACAGATGCTATCACTGAGGTCCTTAAGGTCTGTGATCGAGGGTTGTTGCTGTTTGAGTGCTGGTGCATGCATCCTTCCCTCCTGCCTGTACGGCAGCTGTCTTCCAGTGAGCCCCAGGTGCTGCATCTGGTGTTGGTATCTCTAGTTACAAATAGTGTGCTGACTGCTGACATGGCTTTCTGCAGGTGACATGGCAGTCAGGAGACAAGCTGGATCTAGATCCAGCTGTTCACTCACCATCCAGGGCCAGTGCCTGAACTTCACTGTGGCACAGCGCACTGCAGCAGGGCTCCTACCTTGGCACTAGTGACGTCACTACTGGGTAGTTCTCTGTGTTGGGGGCTGTCCTGAGCATTGTAGGATGTTTAGGGGCCGTCCTGACCTCTAGATGCCAGTAGATGCGAGTGCCACCTTCCCAGTTGGGCCAACCAATCAAAAGTTTCCAGACATGGATAATTGTCCCTTATTGCGAATCACTGCATTAGAGTCATGGAAATACTAACACAGATCCTTATAGCCTTTAAAAAGTATACAAGGATAGTTCAAAAAGTTCTTGGAAAAATAGAATTCAAATATAATACGAGTCTTTCTATTCGTTTCCTTCTACTTTTTGAAGTACGCTGTACATAAAACCAGGTTAATGGATTCCATTTTCAAAAGGCATCAAGTAAACCACAGTGTTTTGTGTTAACGTTTCTCCATCTTGCCTGGATAAACCTCCAGAAATCCCTGTATAGGTTCCTATTGCACAAAGGCATGAGCCCTAGGGACCCAGAGGGGGACCATCACTGCTGGGAATGGCTTCCTCTGTCTGCACTCTGGAGGCATCTGGAGTGCAGGAGGTGACAAATGAATTAGCACCCTTCTTGCAACCCAAAAGGAAGCTCTGGGCACTTGCAGCCGGGCACCTTAAATCAAGAGCGGTGACCACCCACTCTCCTGCAAACCCCTCAGGTGTCCTCCCTCCATCCTCTCATCCTCAGGGCAGTCCCTGTGGGTCTCCTGTCACAGCTCCTGAGAGCCTGCTTGGGAAGTCCCTCTAGCCCTGAGGCCTGATTGTGTGTCAACTTGGAGCTTGAGGGAGCTTGGAGTCAGGTGAATTCTAAAGTATTCTGCAGGTGTAACACACTGGTTGCTTGAAAACAAAGACCCTGTTTCTTGGTGAATGCCAGCCTCCTGGACCTGCTTGGTCATGGGTCACTGCAGTGTTGTCTGTAGTAGCGAGGGAGGACTCAGCCCAGGCACATCCACCTGCACACCCACGTGAAGCACAGTGGTCCTGAGCAATCTCTGTCTATTGCAGTCATTGGAAGCAGTGATGTTATTATTTATATAGTGTCTCTCGACTGCAAGATTTAGAGGCAGTTCTTGAATTTTCCTTGCACCTCTCCCTTCTGGCAAGTATGTATATTCTTATACTGTAAAGAAATAGACACAAGGAGGTCAAGCGACTTGCCAAAGGGTGCACAGCTCAGGGTGACCGAGACTCCTGACATTTTGAGCTGTGCTAAGCCTCGGAGGCTGTGCTTCTTCTAAATGGCCCCAGAATCCCCTAATGGCCCCGTTTACATCCTCACATGTGGATGAAGTGTTCAGAAGCCACAGGATTTGGTCCTTGACACACTTGACAAAGCCTCAGGCTTCCGGCTAAGCAGGGGGTTTGTATTATTGGGAAGCCTGGCTCTGCGTCTCGTGCAGGGAGCCTGGCTCCAAGGGCAGGGGGCTGGAGAAGCTGCCCCGCCAGGCCCAGAACTAAGTGTGGCAGCTCAGCACCTCCAAACCCGGCAAGGGGTGAAACTCTGGGAAGCAAGGAAGGCCAGCCGAGGAGGGGGGAGACTGGGACAGGGCTTTGAGTTAGCGGGAGCCGGCTGTAAGGATGCAAATTAGAGGCCCCTTGCAGAGTGGATTGGTGTGAGAGAAAGCCCTGGAGGTGTGGGCTAGAGATGGCCAAAAGGGCACACCTGCTTGCATTTCCAGGGCTAGTGTCTGAGGGAGCTATCGCCAGGTGCAAAAGGATCATCGGCCAGGGAGGCAGGAGCCTTGCCCCGTGTCCCCGAGGCCTCTGCCAGCCCTTCCTTTCTTCCACTAGAATCTAAGAGGTTTGGGATAAATGCTTTCTAAGATCCAGGCCAGTTTCCTGGAAATATGACATTCCATTATCCCATCTATTTCTATCTACATTACTATTGACAGACTCACAGCGCTCGGTGATCCTGCTTTACAGGGAGATCTAGAATAGCAGAAGGTTGTTGCAAAGCTAGATGTGCCCAAGTGGGAGGTGGGACAAAGGATTTGCAGTTTGCCCCTACAATGGAGTTCGTGACCTTTATGGAGGCTTAGAATTGTATTTATTGTCCTGAAACAGTTTCCTGCTGTATGTAATGTACTAATGTACAAAGAATACAGATTGTAAAATGGTGTTTTTATTTAAAATATACATATACACTTTTTAATACTTAATAAGAAGTCTTGAACAATAGGTACTAAAATGTTTAAGTTTTTATCTCTAGGTAGCAGGTGACTTCTCTCCCTATCTTCTATTTTCCCTATCTTATGTTCTCATGTGAACATATTAGTTATCTTAAAAAAAATTTAAAGCTTAAGATATTGATTATATTAGAATGTGAGAGATCACTTTCATTAAATCCAGTCTTAATGCATTTGCTTGAGTTTATTTTGAACACTAAGTTAGGCCAGCATAAAACTCACTTGGAGCCTTTCCAAAAATCCGTTTGCTGAAGAGGGAAGCCGCCTCATTTTGAGGTAGATATATATATATATATCTTCACTGCTCACCTATTGTATTTTCGTTGCCAAATAGTAGGGAGGTGGGTAAGCTTGTCTAGGACAGGAACACTTTGATGTGACTTGTAAGGTGCTACCTCCAGGCACACCTGCCCTACACTGAGCACAGGTGGACCCCCATCCTGTAGGACTTGATGCTATGGGGCTGACACCCCACATAGCTGCCTGCGGTCGCTGCCACCCCACCCTGCTAGGAGATCCTGGGGCCCTTTGCCTGCCCCTCCCTCTGGGCACATTTCACTCTGTGCTCTGGGAGCTCCCACTCTGTGTCCCGTAGCACATGGCGTTGTAAGTCCCTGCTAGGGCAGAACTATCCACCTGCTGACATCCTGCTAATAAGTGTTGTGTGTCTGTTCCCTTTGCAGAATATGTGGATTGAGAGAACCATATACACAACTGCATATAAATTACCTGGAATTTTAAGGTGGTTTGAGGTCAAATCTGTTTTCATGGTAAGGAATCGTCCGTTCCCCTCCTTCTTGATATGGTCTGACACACCGTCTTCACCCGAGCATGTCACCTGGTCACTGTGGCCCGTGTGCACACAGCAGATGCTGCAGTTCATGTAACCACCCTCCCTGTTCCTCAGTGTCAGCATCTCCTCGCCCACCAGTATTTCAGTGGGAATGCTTTGTGACCACACACCTCTAGCGTATAAGAAAACCAGAACTAAGATTTCATTTCTTCTTACAAAACATTTAAGTTCAGCCACAGCTGTGCTCTTTTGACAGTTCTTTCTTTTTAACTAAATGAAAAGTTTAAGACAAGTTCCAGTTGACATAAACTTTTTAGATCTTTTTTCCGGATGGTTTTATTACCATTTACATGACAAATAAATTAATTAATAGTACTTGCTCATTTCAAGCAAAAATAGCCTGAGAATATACCCCTCCCCGGCACTTTAATAATGATTCCCATCTCTCAGCAAAGCTAAACTTTCCTTTGCTGTGGGAACATTTTATTTACATGAAACTCACATTTAAGGTGAGCTATCAGACAGTTTCATCTGCACAAAACACATTTATGGTGAGATATCCGACAGTTTCATTTACATGAACCAGAGTCTGGCAGCAGATTTACTGACCATATTGAAATGTCAGGGCCGTGGCAATTGCCAGTACAGAAAGATCTGATTGAAATATGTACGTTTTTGTTCCTGTGTCTCGGTGCCTTTTGTTTGTACCTGGCAGGATCTCACCTAGAGGTGTGGTGCTTGTAATTTAGTTTACCAGTCCCCCTGAAACACCTGATGATTTGGCTCTAGGACGTGGCTGGAACCCCTCTCCCAGCCATGTGTCCACTCTCTTCTGTTCATGCCTGCGTGAGCTCTGGGCAGCTCCGGGAGCCCCGTGATCTGCCAGACTTCCCCACCCCGCACAGCTACCTGCAGTCATTCACACCCCATCCTGCTCTGAGCTCCTGAGGCCCTTTGCCTGCCCCTCACTGTGGGCACACTTCACTTTCTGCCCTGGGAGCTCCCGTTCTGTGCCCCGTAGCGCCAGGCAGTGGCTGGTGGACGGAAGGCTGTCAGGAGTTACTTGTCAGGTGGCAAACGTGCAGCCCCTTTGCTGGGGCCATTGGGGCTGGAGATGGATGTGTGAGAGATGACAGAAAAGCAAGCCCTTCCTAAATAGGCAGTAATCCTCATAATGAGCCTCTGCCATAAGCCCCTGTAATCAGGGATTCCGGGAGCCAGCCGGCTTAATAGCTTGGAGGTAGAGAGGGGGCGTCCTGACCTTGCATGAGGATGTGCGTCACCCTCGGGCTGCTTTTTAACAGACTAAGAGGCTGGAAGCCCAATAATCCCCTTGACCCCTGCTTGTGCCTCCTGGGACCAACCACCATGGGGTATCTGTGGGGACAGCAGCTAACCTGGTTTGGTTTAGGACACGATTGTTTCTTGTGGCAAATGGGATCAGCAACCTGGAGTCTGCAGTTGGTCAAAGTGGAATAAGGCCCTGCAGTGTCCATGTGGTGAAGTCCTGCTCCTGGATGGTACCTCCAGGGCCTGGGAAGCATGGTATGGGGGGAGGGCAGCATTCCAGGGTTGGGCATTTCCCAGAGCTGTCTGTTCTTGGTTCCTCTCTGCTCCCCCGGCTCCATCTCTCAGATAGTCCCCCGAGGCTGTAGCGAGAGGAAAGCAGGAGACCCCTGTGGGCCGCATGCAGAGGACACCCCAGGACTCATGCACATGGCAGGGCCCACCACATCTCCTTTGGGAGGATTGAAATTAGGGTTGAGGTCATCCCGGACGTGGTCCCCATGGCCTAGCCTGGTCGGGAGGCCTGGTGGGAGGTGTGGTCCCTGCTTTAGACTTGGCCATGTTCTCCTTGCACTTCTGAACCAGAGGAGCACTGTGTTGGGATTTGGCAAGGACCTGAAGTCCCCCAGAGAAGGAGGACAGGGGTGCAAGAGAGGTGTGCCAGGGAAGCTGAGGGGGACAGGCAGTTGGTCCCCCTGCCTCCTGCACTGAAGGGCCCACTGATCAGTGTCAGATTTGCCAATGAGGTTTTTGAGGCTGGGCTGCAAGGGGTGATGAGCAGCCCCTCTGTCCCCAGCCCTGGGGTAAAGGGTAAGTGGAGGCCATGGCAGGGCCCCTCTTGCAACTTCCCTGGTCAGACAGGTACAGCAGGTTTCACACAGAGCCCAGGCCTTCTCCTAGCTTCCTCATAATTCGCTAAAATCTTCACCGGCTATAAAACCAGTGGAGAACAAGCCTCCTTTATGAAGCAGACAGTTTGTGTCCAGACACCACTCCAGGCTGTGTGTGTTCCTGGATGGCCACACGTGCTCACATATGCACACGTGCACACGCACACCCCAGAGATGAGCAGCTTTTGCTGTTATGGAATTTTCATGTGAGTGCTCCGTCTCTGGAAGCAAGAGATGATAATAAAATGCCAAGCTCCTCTTGGTTGGGCTGTAAGTGATCATGTCCAAAAACTGCTGGGAAGGCGTGTGGAGAAGCAGGACACCTGCCCCACCTTGACATGTTGCTCCTCTGGCAAGGCCCAGAGCTGGCGCCAGTGGTGGGCTGACGTGTTGTCTCCCTTCACTGCAGGTGGAGATCAGCCCCCTGGAGAATGCCATTGAGACCATGCAGCTGACAAACGACAAGATCAACAGCATGGTGCAGCAGCACCTGGATGACCCCAGCCTCCCCATCAACCCGCTCTCCATGCTCCTGAATGGCATCGTGGACCCTGCCGTCATGGGAGGCTTCGCAAATTATGAAAAGGCACGTGGCATGCCAGTTTTCTCTTTACTCCCCTGCCCTGGGACAGACTGGAAATTCCAAACACTGTCCCCAAAGCCCAGAACTATCCTGGTCTCATTGGGCAATCTCAGCAGTGATGAGCCACAGCCAGGCAGGAGGGGCCTCTGCAGGCTGGAGGGTCACGGTCTGAGCCCAGGCATGGCTCCCCTGGGGTCCTCAGACAGCTTGACCCACCCAGCTTGGGCTAGTGGAGCTCTGGAGGGTGACCCTCAGGTGGCTTTCAAGAGGCCTGGGATCATTAAAGCTGTAAGATACAGGTTTAGAGAAAAACAAAAGCGTCAGAATATTTAGGCTAGGGAGGCAGCGCTGGTCCGGTGGAGGGCCCTGGACAGCTGGTCTCCTGGGTGATAGCTCAGTGGGAATGGGTGGGAGCTCCAGGATGTGGAGGGTAGTCTAGACGGATCTGCACATTCCAGCTTACCACCTGCATTTGCAAATGAGGTTTTACTGGAACATGGCCATACCCATTCATTTACTTATGGCCTGTGGAGACCCCTATGGTCCACAAAACCTAAAATGTTTACCCTCTGGCCCTTCACAGAAAAAGTTTGTTGACCCCTGATCTAGACAAAGTAAAAACTGAGACAGGTCTGGAGAGCGGGCTGCAAAGGTGTGGTTAATTGCCCTTGGACAAAAAGGTAGCTCTGCCACCTTCAGGTTTGGGTCAGGCCTGGAGCAGGTGCCAGGTTGGGTCACGGGCATGCAGTGGGGAGGGAGGGCTGTCATCGCTGCCACCCACCAGGACCAAGCAATCCAGGTGAGCCAAGCCTTTGCTGGACTCCAGGCACTGGGAAGCCACTGTGAACACCCTCCTTGGCTGCCCGTTAGCTCCACTGAGTTTGACTGTATCGGATATTTTGCCCTGGATCCGGGGAAGGTTCAACCCAGAGTCTGGATGAGCTTCGCGAGGGCAGGGGTGTGGGTCTGTTTTATGCACAGCTCAACCCCACAGCCTGGGGTGCAGTAGGTGTGCAAAACTCTGTGTGAGATGAGCAGGCGTACTGAGTGGCTCTCCATGTCTCCACCAGGCCTTCTTTACTGACCGGTACCTGCAGGAGCACCCTGAGGCCCACGAAAAGATCGAGAAACTCAAGGACCTGATTGCCTGGCAGGTAGAGTGTCCCATGATAGCCTTGCATGGCTGGGGGGGATGGGGGAGACGGGGTCTAGGCCCATGTCTGCCTGGGTCGCCTCAGCACACATGTGCAGCCAGCATGGAGGCCCAGGACGGTCATCAGAATGCACCTGACCATGTGCTCCTCTGTGTAAAACCATCCACTGCCACCACGATTAATCCAACTCCTGGGTGCAGTCATGGATTGAACACCCAGAGAATTGTCTTTTGCAAATGAACAAGGTCTCTTTCTTCCCCTTGGCCAATTATACCAGCTGCTGGAAATGTTTCTCTGCCTGGCATTGATGGAACACAACACCACAGCAAGCTCAGAGCCATGAAATCTTAGCTCTGTCGTGTCACAGGAAGGGTGTTCGGCCTTGGTAGGTCGGAGCCACAGAGCAACTCTTGTGCTCTGGAATCAGGCTCTGGAGTGGCGTGTGTCCTCATTTGTGTTTTTCCAGCTGTAATTCTGCATCTTAGTTTGCTTTTCTGCTCATGCTCTAGAGGCCCCCGAGTCTTTCTTGAAAGGGAAGGTAACTCTGGAGGGTGGCCTTTGATCAGCTTCCAGTTACTTGCTGATGAGTCTGGGAGCCTTCCTGAGCTTGACGGTGCAGGGAACAGCCAGACCCGGTCCTCCTGGGTGCTCGGCTGCACTTACTCTGCCACTTTGGGCAACTGTCTTCTTTAGGCCTCATTTTCTCCTGTGGGAGCTGAGGAGGGTGCTGTATGCAAGATCTCCTCCAGGTCTAATGTGCACGCCCCAGGCTGAGTAAAGGGTGTAGAGAGAGTTGGGGCAAGGGCCTGCCTGAGCTTGGGCTGGCATTTTCCCCCAGGCCGCTTTGCTGAGCTGGAGCCCCAGGCTCCCAGATGGGGCCTGGAGATCTGTGCGGCTTCTCTGTGCCCAGTCAGCACAGGGCAAGGCTGCTCCTCTGTGGGGATTTTATTCTGGCCATCACCACGGAGCCTCACCATAGTGGCTTCTCTGTCATCAGGACATTGTCCACTGAGACCTCTTAGGGTGGCGAGGCTGAGCTTCGGTTTTAAGACATAAGTTCTCCTAATTTGTGTTTAGATGCACAAGACAGAATGGATTTTTATAACTCTAAGTACTTCTATATTTATACACGAACATAACATCTATTATATATAATTATGATAAAATATACATAAAATTTATTATCTTAACCATTTTTAAGTGTACAGTTCGGTGGCATTAAGCACATTCACACTGTTGTGAAACCATCACCACCATCCGTCTCCAGAACTTTTTGATCCTGCAAAACTGAAACTGTCCTCATTAAACACTAACGCTCCATCCCCCTCGCCCCTCCCCAGCCCCTGGCAACCACCTTTCTACTTTCTGTCTCTATGCATTTGCCTACTCTGGGTACCATCCAAATATTGTATCAATCCCACAGTATTTGTCTGTCTGTGTCTGGCTTATTTCACTTAGCATAATGTGTTCCAGGTTCATCCATGTTGTAACATGTGTCAGAATTTCATTTCTTTTAAGACCTAATAATATTCCATTATATGAAGAGACCACATTTTGTTTATTCATTTATCTGTTGATGAATATTTGGGTTTTTCCACTTTTTGGCTATTGTGACTAATGTTGCTAATGAACATGGTTGTTTAAATATCTGCTCAAGTCCTTGCTTTCAATATTTTGGCTATATACCCAAAAGTAGAATTGATGAATCATATGGTATTCTGTTTAATTTTTTGAGGGACTGCCAGAGTTTTCTACAGTGGCTGTACCATTTTACATTCCCACCAGCTGTGATGCGTGATTCCAATTTCTCCACATCCTCACCAAGACTTGTTATTTTCTGGGTTTTTTTCTGTAATAGCCATTCTAATGGCTATAACGTTTATATATAAAAACTTAACAGATTTGCGTGCATTTGAAATCTATTTGCCTTGGAATTGTTTTAAACCCTCAGAGCTGACTGGAAGGGACATCATTAGCCAGCGATGGTTTCTTTGCATGGAGTGTAAGCCTCATGTAGGCAGGCAGTCTCCCTCTGTTACTAAAAGAGTGAGAGAGTTTAAAATTTTGAATACTTTCATTTTAGATGTTATAGAAACTAAAGGGTACAAAATTCAAAACTCTTCTGAAGGCTATAAAACCATTGCTACACAAAAACTAGTTGGGTCTGCAAAAGTTCTATTGATTTTTTTTTCCTGTTAAGCTTTTATAGCAAATTGGATTTTAAGAGTTTCAAGTCCTACAGAGGAAAATAATTTGTTCCCCAGAGAGCAACTTTATGTCAGCACTATGTCATCACCCCTAATAACTATATTAAAGGGTGAATTTTAAAGCAGCTCACAGGAAAGTTGAAAGAATGTTTTCTAGTAACTTCATTAAATCAAAGAGTGATGAAAAATACATATTCAAAACATTACATGTGATTTTGCTTTCATTTGCAAATGTTTTGAACACCCACATCTTAGTATTGGTAATTGAGTCATACGTTCATTAAAAATAAGAAGTTTGGAGTTATCAAACTGCTTTGTTCTCATTTTGTTAGTTCATTTGGTTTGGTTTTTTTTCCTGAAATTCTATCAGGGCAGAGTGAGTTTTCCTCCTGGGAGTTGCAGGACTCGTTTGCAGAGTTTCCATCGCCAGTGTATGATAAGTGCAGCTCCGATGCCTAGAGTCGCTTGTGAAGGCTGGCTAATAAGTCCCAGGCAGCTCCTCTGCTCTGTTGCTGCCTCTGAGATAGAAGATGGTGCTGCCCTGCTCCTCAGCAGGTGGGAGGCGGAGGTTAGGGTGCAGGCTGTGTGGTGCCTCTTCTGGGTGTGCACCTGACACCAGGTCATGAGCCACTTCCTCAAAGGCACAGGTCTGTCTTTCCCCAGAAGCAGCTGTCATTGTTGAGTATCCCCGCTGAGTGTCCACAAATGAATCCACACAGTCTCATATTAAACTGCTGTGATGTGCACATATTTCTCTTTTGAAATGTGCAGAGATGAAAGACCACACTCGCTCATCACCCCAGCTGATGACAGTCGCAACTGCTGTGGCCAGGGGCGGTGTTCCTGGAACAGTGAGCTGGGTGTCCATGTGTTCTGTGCTGCTGGTGGGGCAGGGATCTTTATGGGGGGCAGGCAGGAGCAAGCTTCAAATGCAGCAGCACCCACGAGGAGAGCGCTTTTCCGAGCAGGTTGCAGGATCACTTTGAACACCTAGAGGTGTGACTTTGGGAAAGTTCTGCCCTCTGTGGGCTCTAAGCAACACTTTAGGAATGCAGATTCCTAGGAGCCTTCTAGAGCAAATCAGGGTGGGGTTCAGGGATCTGCCTGAGGGATTCTGATGCTCAGCCTGCTTGCAGCCCACTGAACTACAGTGCCTCCGTAGACCATTTCAGGCTCTAGTTCCATGGCTTCTATTTGTATAACAAGACGTCATACACTGGAGTGTTTACACAGAACATCTTTTTATTTTCTTCCATTTAGAATCACAGCTGCAGTTCAGCCCCAAATAGACATAGAATGGGGGACAGATCCCATCCCATAAGAAGGTTATATCCGGTCAATGTCAGGGACTGCTGGGAGTGATGAATTCTCCTACCTTGTTTACCTGTCATTTTGTGGTTCAGGCAGTACCAGTGACCTAAACCGAATGGCCTTAGCTCTCTTCCAGCAAGTAGCTTCTTTGATGAAAACAATCTGACCAATTAAGAGTTTAATCACACCGATAAAAAAAAATGCAGAACTGTTTCAATTGCAGTATGCTCATTTGAGGAAGGTCCATACTAAATCAAAAATGCTTTTAGTATCTAGGGAGGCTATGCTCTCACCTTGAGACAGCACCCCACACAGACTGGCCTTCACAC